TATCATATATATATACATTACATACACACACACATATACAATATATATACATATTATATATATATTTTATATATATATGGTGTGTGTGTGTATATATACTATTGTACACACATATACATTTACATATATAGGGATATTTTTATATATTATATATGTAGTTTATAATATTATGACTTTCTTTATATCTATTTCATTGATTTATATCTTGTCATATCTAACTGTCGCAATGTTTGTGAATTATACTAAGTTCTGATCAGGTTTGATCGATAATCTCTATGACAATAACATCTCATTTAGTATATTCTGTAAAAGTATTGAAACCAGAAGGATGATTTTGAAGAGCAATGACAACAATGATAATGATGTGATAACAGAAAAAAAAAAAACCGTACTAAACAAGATGTTAAGCATAAGTGATAAAATGATAATTATAATGATACTAACAGAACAAATAAATGGTCAATACAACGGAAATCCAGATGATATGAAGATAACAATGATGATAACCATGATGAGGATAACAATATCATTCAAGAGAATGGTTCTCGTAGGAGTAATGGATACTTATGATGATGGTAATGGGCTTCAAGCAACAATAATTATGATAATGTGATTATGATCAATCATGATGATGATGATGATGATGATGATGATTGGTGTGATGATGATGATGACGGGATAGATATTATATGAATATATAAAATAATAATAATATATAATAATATAATGATAATAATAACAAATAATGATAATAATAATATCAAATACAATATATATAATAATATGTAATTATATATTATTATCATTATTATTATCATTATTATCATAGTAATGATATAATATTAAAGTATAATGAAATATAATAATAATATAATTATTATATTATTATTATTATTATCATTATATTATTATTATTTTAATAATGATAACAGTAAATGATAAAATAACAACAATACTACTCTAAACGATAATAAATAAGAATAGTAATAACATAATAATGAGAACAATAAAGAAATACTGCGGAATATGAATGATAAGGCAATAATAATCCATTGATAATGAATAACATAATAATGATAATAAGGATAATAATAATGATGAAATAATAATCAACAATAATGATAACAACAATGATGATATGATAATGATGATGATAATAATAATGATTATGAATATAATAATAAAATAATTGCATTGATAATGACAGTAATGCTAATGTTAACGACTAATAATATAACATTTTTATAGCACTAGTGGAATACTAGTTAATATATATGTAATGTAACAATATACTATTGATAAATATTGATAATATTGACAAAAACAGCAACAATAATAATTAGAAGAGCAGTGATATCAAAAATAATCATAACCGTATTTTGCAACAATAATGCTACTATTTGTGATTATGATGATGACGTATAAGGATTATCATTATCAATATCCTTATTATTATTATTATTATTACTATTATCACATCATTATTATTATTATTATTATTATTATTATTATTTATATTATTATTATATTATTATCATTATCATTGTTATTATTATTATTATTATTGTAAGCTATCTAAAGAACCACACTGAAAAAATGATGACACTAACAATTATCATTTATAGTTTCCATAACAAATTATTATATCTTAATCAACAATAAAACAGCAACGCAGATGCAGTAGTTTTGATTATGGTGGTGATTTAAATAATATATAATAATGATAGTAATCATAATCATAATAATGACGTTAATACAATTTCAACTACAGCAGCATCGGAAATAGTAATGATAGCAGCAGCATTGCCTGTGGCAGAAGACATGCTGACTAACACATTGTTTCTCTTTTTCTTTTTTTTTTTCTTTTTTTTTTTTTTTTTTTTTTTTTTTTTGCGAAGGCCTGCGGTAGCAACTCAGGTACAATTATACGCAATGCTGCTTGTTCTCACTTTTTATGGAAAGTTATACTATAACTCCTTCCGCATATTTCATTCAGATCATTCTTTGAAAATTACTACGGAAAATATGGAATATCACTAAATGAATTAGAGTAAAGGACGGAAATGCGTTGTATTCCAACCTTTATAGCATGGCTTCCACTGCTTAACCTCAGTTCTCAGGATTCCAGGCCAAAAACGCTGCCAGACGTACGTGCTTTTGTTTGTGGAATGCTTTCAATATAAAGAACTGTGCAAATGGCAAGTGAATTTTTTATGATTACATTTTATTATATTCAAAGAGAGGTTAGTTGGTAAGTTCTTTTGATAAAAAATATATAATTTTTAAAGTATTTTAGCAGTTCATACCGGTTTCTATTGGCGTTCGAAGTATATGATTTTTCTCATAGAGTATGCTATTCACAACAGTTAGCTCTCAATAATCTATAATTCCGAATTCTTCAGTTTCTCGTACAAAGACTTGAAAAGGGAAAGATAGTTCTGATAAGCACAAAAGCAAAGAAAGTGCTAGGGACGCTCCGGTACAACACGTTGGGCCCTTTGTGGAGGTGGGTTGGTTACTGAACTCGCTCTGTGCCGGCAGTGTCCAGAACACGTAACAGGAGGTAGCTGAGACAAAAGAAGAATCTCGGGTACTTCAGTCGGAAAGGTATGTGTCCCTCTTGTGAAAAGAACTTAAAGTTTGTCCTATACAATATGCACAGTGGTTGATGAAGTTGTGTTTCTCTCCTGTGACAAGATTATTAGATCATGGTTTGGGATTTGTGTCGCAGGCAGTGAGGCTGGAAAATACCTTGTGTAGTTACGCTTGTAAAATGTTAATGCCAGATCGCTATCATAACCCTCCTTTACATATCTTTTATTAATTTTATATTATCTATCTATTTTTTTAAACAATAATTCTTCTGCAGCTGATAAGTAAAATACTGAATGATGAGAAATGTGATTCTATAAACGTTCCATGGAGTTTACGCGTTGGGCACGTTCCCCAAATCTTATCTCCATCTGCCAACCTGTACGCCGTTCCACCTCCTCCCACAGTGTACGTTACACAAACACACCCTCGCCCACATGCTCCTCATTGCCCCCCAAAACTTCCCCACTGTTGTCAGTCTTCCCCCTCGCTCTCCTCTCGGCCCGGACCGACATACCACGGAGGGAGGCGTCGCGAGGGGGTAAGGAGGTCGCCCCTTGGGTTTGACCTCTCCAAGGGAAGACCTGAGCTTCGGGTTTCTTTCCCCGGGTACTGTCCAGGCCGGGTAACCTGAGGAGGGGGCTGATAGGACTTCTTGAAATCCTATTGGTTTTTATTGGTTTGTTTTCTCTTCATTTTTTGGGTTTTCTTTTGTTCTGTTGGGTGTTTGCTTGCGTGTGTGTTCGTATCCGTTGAGAGAATGTGTGAGTGGGATGTATATATATTGAACTTTGTGTGTGTGTGTGTGTGGTGTGAGTGAGTGAGTATGTGTGTGTGTGGTGTGTGGCGTGCAAGCGCCACCCCTGATGTGAGCGTCTGCGTGCGTACGAGAGCGAGGTTGAGTGGTGCAAGCGAGCGCGTTCCTCCGACGCTCCTCCCTCTCAGCAGGATCGTCTTCCCTGCCCTTGCCCCCCCCCCCAATTACATACCTACATAAACATATATAATAATACATATATATAATAATATATATATATATAATATTATTATTATATATATATATCGTAGTATATATGGGGTATGGTTATGTATGGTATAGTAATGTAATATATACCACTTCACACACAATATATTTATATACTTATCAATTTACTATATTCAATATATATTATATCTTCTCTCTATTATATTTCTGCTTATTATATATCTCTATTATATATTGTTATGCTCTTATATATATCTTATATAATTGTTCTTCATATTACTAAATATTATATATATTTATCATCTTTATATATTATACAAATATATATATATCTACTTAATCAATACTATATACTATATATTTATAACTATATATATATTATCATTATCCTTATCTCTTCTTCAACTTACTTATACTATTACTCTCTATTATTCTTTATCATATATTTCTCATATATTATATTTTGCCCGTGTGTGGTGGTCTGTTGCTGTGTTTGTATTTATACAACATCTCTCTTTCTTCTCCTTCTTTTCTTCTCTCTCTTCTCCTGCTTCTTCTTCTTTTTCTTCTCTTCTCTCTTCTCTTTTCTTATCTCTTTCTTATCTTTCTTCTTCTCTTCTTCTGCTTCTCTTCTCTTTCTTTTCTTTTTCTCCTTCTTTTTTCTTTCTCTTCTTCTCTCTCTTCTCTCTCTTTCTCTTTTTTTGCTTCTCTTCTTTTTTTCTACATTCCTCCTTCTTTTTCTTTCTCTCTTTCTTCGATTCTTCTCCTTTCTTTCTTCTTTTTTTCTCTCCTTTTTCTCTCTCTTCTTCTTCTCTTCTTCTTCTTTCTATCTTTCTCTCTTTTTTTTTTCTCTTTTCTTCTTTTCTTCTTTCTTTCTCTCTCTTCTTTCTTTCTCTTCTTCTTTCTCTTTTCTCTTTCCCCGCACCGCTAAGTCATCCCAGCCTCCCAGCCGCCCGTCGATTACGCCCTGAGATGCACCTCGAACACGGCGGAGATGAAGCGGGCTGCCGTCTAGGCCTCGAGTCGCCCGCCTCGCCGGCCCTCAAGTATTCATGTGTTTTCGGTGGCCCTCGGAGTCGGTCCTCGGCGCCGGGGATGTTTTGGGCCGAGGACCGACGGGTCTCTCCTCGCTTCCCTCCTCGCCCTCCTTTATTGCTTCATTTCTCTTCGCCTGCGTGCCTTATCCGTTAATTTTACAGGGCCTCTGCCGCGTGGACTTGCTCGCGTTGTGTAAGTGTGTGGTTACAAGTGTCTGTGCTTGTGTGCGCGCCCGCGCCCCTCGCCGCCAAACTGGTTTGAGGGCGTGTAAAAAATTGCGTAACTTCGGAGGCGCTTTTGGCCGAGAATTTTGCACCGAGGAGTATGTGGACACGCACGCACATGTATATATATATATATATATATATATATATATATATATATATATATATATATATATATATGTGTGTGTGTGTGTGTGTGTGTGTGTGTGTGTGTTGTGTGTGTGTGTGTTGTGTGTGTGTGTGTGTGTGTGTATGTGTGTGTGTGTGTGTGTGTGTGTGTGTGCCAGTGAGTGTGTGTGTGCATAAATATATTTACATTTGAGTGTGCGTGTGTATGTACGTATTCATGTGTGTATGTATTTACCCGCAAGCACGATCTCTCAGTGATGTAATCGTATGTGAAACTGTTCAAGCTTCCAGTAAAAACTGAAAATATTGAGTTGATTTCCAGTGCCGAGTCGACCTTGAAAGTGCATCCGTGTATTGATCGACACAATATCGATTAATAGTTTCTTTAATTCGACATCTTGAAGCAGATTTCAGAAGTGAGCGTGTTCTTTTTTAAGAGAAACGGTTAAATATGGTAAGTTTTAAAAATTCAAACCGCTAACTGTTTTAAAAATTTAAATAGATAAAAAATATCGGCTATTAAAAGCAAAGATGCTCAAAGATGATGTTAAGGTTTATATTTTTTTTTTTTTTTTTTTTTTTTTTGGCGGGGGTTGTCGTAAACCGTAATTTAAAAATTGTTCCCTATTTCCGGTGTTCGAATTTCGGAGTGTATTGCGTCTTAGAAGATTTTTTTTTATGTTTTCCTTCGTGATCAAGATACATGTGAGAAAAAGAAGAAAATTAGCAGAGAATATTGGATTTTTTTTTACCAAGTGCGTTTCCCTCTTGTTTGTTTAGCCTAGTACACGGAATTTTGTTAATTACGTTACTAGAAGTATCTGTACATTTTTTTTTTTTTCAGAATCACATAACAATACGCGTTAAATGAATGGAACTGAATATGATAGTAATAATAACAGAAAAAGTAATAATGAAATAATAGAATACATTCGTATCCTCTACCACTGCCATTCACAAAGACCGCATGATGACTTCTGTATCTGTATTTTTTTCAGAATTACATCACAACACATGTTAGATAAGTGAAAGAATCAAATGAAATACTTAGTTCAAACTATGAGCTCAAGTAAAAGAAAGAAAGAAAAAAAAACATCCGTATTCTCTAACACCGATAATAGAATAAAAGCGTTATTATAACGTTATCCCAAATGAAATGAATCCGCAAATGAAAGACATTAGCCAAACAAATAATTAGATAATAAATAAATAGTTTTAAATAATAAATGAATAGCTTTAAATAGTACAAAATTTAATACATAAATTAAGTCAAAAAGAATATACATCCGTATCCTCCACCAACGATATTCTCGGAGACCGCCTCATCGAAACAGCTGAGTTGCAGGTTCCGTCCATCACTAGTTACACGAGGAGGTGAAATTCTCATTGTTACGTGCAGTAGTCGTTAATGTACTGCAGCTGACCGGATGGTAGACGTTGGAATTTAAGTATCTATTGGTATGTCGTGGTTTCCGGTGTCAGGGATGGGGGCGATCTCGGCGGTCCTCGGAAATCTCCTTTGTTCCTGCTGGTTTATCTCTGTTTTGTTGTTGTTGTTGTTTTTGCTTGTGATTGATTTGTTTGATTGGTTTGTGGTATTGGTTATATGTTTTTAGATTGTTGGTTTATTGAATTGTTTTTTTTTAAGATTTTCAGATTTTTTTTTTTTTTGGGGGGGGGTGATTTTATGTTTTAGATATAGGCCTAATTACTTTTTAGATATGTATGGCAGAAATCTGTATTTGTTTCTTTAAAAATCATGTTCTTCATTATCCATACGTTTTCTTCGATTTTTTTACTTTTCGTAAGAAAACGGTTAGTAAGTGAAGCGACAAACAGTAGAGCATGATTTTATAAGTATTATATATTTTATTGTTATTATTTTATTTTTTATTGGAGGTATTTAGGACTTCATCGTTATTTGATATTCTCGTTTAATTGACTTTGTTTTTATTGCTTTTGTTGTGTATTATTACTGTGTTTGTTTTTATTTCGTCATTTTTATTCGTTGCTTTTGTAGCTGCATTAACATTGTTATTGTTCAAGATATTTACTATTCTTAGCGTTATTTTATTACAACTTGAATTGCCTTTTCCTGTTTTTGGGATTTTATGATTGTTTCCATTAGTATGTGATTATTCAAAAGTGTTATTGCTATTCTCCAACATGTTATATCACGGAATCCTCCAGCCGGACGGGAGCCACACCTGCCCTTACGTAAACACGGGCGCCGATGGGACAGGCCTTGATTTGTGGACATTGGGAGGCGGTTAAATAAGTCAGTACTTTGCTGTTGCGGTCTGCTGCTCAGGGGGCTGGTTGTGAAGACACGCACACGCACGCATACGTATATGTATACGCACGCACGCACGCACACATGCTCACACACACTCACACACATATACACGCATGTCCACTCTCACGCTCACACGCTCTCACACACATATACAGTCACTCACTCACTCACTCTCACTCTCACTCAATCACCCACTCTCGCTCTCACTTACACACACAACACACACACACACATATACTCTCTCTCACTCACTCTCTCATTCATTCATTGATTCATTCACTCACACACACACACACACACACACAACACACACAACACACACACACACACACACACACACACA